GGCGCGCGCTACCACGCCCGGCTAATTTTTTTGATTTTATTGTAGAGATGAGGTTTCGCCAAGTTGCCCAGGCGGGCTCAGGCAATTCACTCACCTCGGCCTCCCAAAGCGCAGGATTACAGACTGAGCCGCCAAGCCCGGCCTGTTTGTTGCATCTTAATTGCTAAAATGTCGAAGATGCATTGGTTTGGGGTAAAATATTCTTGTTTCCTTCACTGGCTTAAAACTACGTTGTAGGGAAGCCACAACCAGGGAGGCAGCTGGACCTCGGGAGTGGACCAGAACCAGTGTGTATCATTCCTCATCCCGGCAGCTCAAGAGTTGGCCGCCTTCTTATCTCATCTGCAGACTGACTTTCCCATTCCTCAGAGTGGGAAATACGGCCCAACATACCTGCTCCAGGCCCAGCCAGCCAGGAAGACTTCTGAGCTACAGAGAGAGGAATTGTGAGATCAGCTCAGCTGGGCCTAGCACTTACCCTGGTACCCGTAAGTGGTGATGACTGCAGGCACAGCGTTAGGCAGTAACCACATGGCCCTGGGAGAGTCGTGGAGGCTGGGAGACCCTCCCCAGTGGAAAGCTTGAATTTGGAGTGAGTTTGGGTGTGCAGGGCCAGGCACACAGACACTGTTCTACAACCTTCCATGGACTGTGGTTGCAGTGGGTGAGCTGGTAGGGTGGCGAGCACAGCTCCAGTCCCCTGTGGCAGGGCTGGTGATGATGGCTGGAGACCCATTCCAACTCCAGGACGCTCACTTTTCTCATGAGCACTGGTTTTGAGAGTGGCCTCTCCACAGGACTGTGGGGAGTTAGCGGTTAGATTTCCCAGCTCCTGCCCCAGCAGGGGGAGCAGAACTCAAATGTGGCCAATACTGACTTCCAGAGCTCCCCAGTGGGATCAGTGCCCAGTGCAGGGACCTATTGACAACATACCTAGCCTGGTTGCCTTCCCTTCCCTGGCTGGCTTCTCCCTTACCTGCCAGTGTTTCCTGGAATCACTGCACTGCTTTCTACCCCCGAATCCTTGTCCCTGGGTCTGCTTCTGAGGCCCCAACCTGTCCCGACCAGCGGGACAAGTAAAACGTGGGCACGAGGAGGACTACCTGCTGCTGGTGAAAAGAGAGAGAGAGACCAAGAGAGAAAGAGACAGGAGACACGCAGAATGGAGGCAAGACAGTGTTCTGATCAAGCCTCCAAATTTTATTGTTAGGCGATTGCTTATATACATAGCAAAGAGGGGCGGGCTGAAATAGGGCGTGTGGCGGCTTATGATAGGAGGAAGAGTAGTGGTGGTATGAGGAGAGGAGGTGGGAGGGGTGTTGTGGTTTGGCGTGCGCGGGCTTTTCGGAGGACAAAGAAGAAGGCTTATATGAGATGATTGCTATTTTTAAAATGGCTCCCAACACCAACCCAAGACCTTTGCAGTCTCAGCAGCTAGGTTTCCCAGATGAGTATGAGGAGTAGATAAGCGCATACACTTTTCCATCCGATTATATCTTTTTCTCTAAAAATAGAGCTCTTTATTTCAACAGGTTAGGGTAAATATCAGCAAGCATTAGGATATTTTAAAAATATGATATAAACATAGAACAACATTAGAAATAAATACACACACATAAGAACAATACACAACCTTCTCGGTTCACTAAAGAATGATGCATGTTGCTCTAAGCTAAGGCACCATCCAATTTCTTCAGGTGTGGGCCCAGCCCACCCACCCGCTCTGCACATGAGAGGGCTTTGTAAACAGTTAAGTGCTGAGCACACAGGACAAATTCTTATACTATTATGCCCTTTCCTGGTGCTTCCCACAGCTTTTTATTAATGACTTAATGACTATAAAGAAGCTGTAATCTAGAATCATTAAAAAACTCAGGCTATATCAGAAATGAAACTTTGAAAAAAAATTCCATAAAATAATAACAAGGGGCCAGGCTCATGTCTGTAGTCCCAGCTACTCAGAGAGCCAAGGCAGAAGAAATACCTGAGCACACTAGGTTGAGGCTGCACTGAGACATGATTGTGCTACTACACTGCAGTCTGGGCAGCAAAGTGAGACCCCTGACTCAAACAAACAAACAAACAAACAAACAAAACAAGGTTTAAGAACAGAAATCAAGTGGCAATTTCATACAAGCTAAGGCAATAATGGAGGCAGCTTTGACTTTTCTGAGATGAAGCTGCTCAGCTGGGTTCCCGGAGAGCACATCAGCGCTTGGGGCTTTCCCTGGTGCTGTCCTGAGCCACCGTCCTCCCAGCTCCATGGTTTGTGCTGCCTCTTCTGGGCTCAATGATAAGGACATGCCTCACCACAGGGAAAAACCCCTGGGAAGGCACATGCTCTTAGCGGTGGTGAAGGCCTCCACCTACCCTGGAGGTCCTGGCTGAGATCTACAAGGGGTCAGAGGTCGGCCTGGCTGGGCTGAGGACAAAGAGCTCACCCTGGGGGACACACACATTAAGTCCTTTGGGTAGCACTGTTAGGTGACCTTGGGTATGCACTTTGCCACTCTAGGCCTCAGCTGCTTCGTTTGAAATGAGAGGGGTGTGCAGTTCAAAAAATGGCTTGCTAACTGTTCCCTTAGCTGTGGGGCCCCTAAACAAAACCTCAGGTGGAAGGCCACTGCACACTAACTGGGGGACAGCGAGGGAGGTTGCCCTGGTTGAAGCAGGGGCTCCTACAGCCCCATGGCTCCCCTTGTACCTTGGGTTTCAACACAAGGTCCCTGGGGCACATGGTTTGAGAACTCCTGGACCAGATGCCTTAAGAAGCTCTCCAGATCTGTCATTTAATGCAGTTCCTTCATGTTAACTTCAAAACAACACAGCTCTGTGGGTAAAGCTCCTTTCTTCACCAACAGAACGCAAATTCTGGCAGGTTAAATGGCCACAGAGCCAAGGTTGTTCAGACTCTCCACCACAAAACAGGTATCTTGGTCCTATGATGAAAGCTCAGCTACGCTTGTCCATATACAAGTGGGTGTGGCTAATGGAGGACGTGTCACCACCACCAAGTAAGAACAGTCACCTGTATCTGGAAGGCTGGATTTTCATAACTGGAAGGGGGAATAGGACTTCCTTATGACCACTCTAGCCAGCCAAAGGGTCTGCAGCGCTGTCCAACAAAGAGATGACAGACTCAGAAATCCACTATGACCTCAGTCCAACAAGTTGGACCCCCAGAAGGTAGACCACTTGATTTCTTCCTTGGGTAGCAGAGTCTCCATTACTGGTAGAGGACAGGGGACAGGGTCCAGCGTGGCTGGGGCTCTGGTTTCTGAGAGCTCAGTCTCCTGACCAGGGCGTGCAGGGAAGTGAGGGTGGGAGGAAGGAGGTAGACCGGAGGTGAGACACTCTGGGCTTAGGGTCTCTCAGAGACTGCACAGATGGAAAATCCTAACAGTCACCACATAGAGGGCACTGAGGACATGGTGGGCCCCATGCTGCACACACTGAGATCTCCCTGAACTCTCACCACACTCAAAAGTAGCTGCAGATGAGAAAACCGAGGCACAGAAAAAGAAGGTGCTTCCCTAGGATCACACAACTGGTAAAAGGATTTGAACCCTAGTCTGTTTGGTATTAAAAACCATGCAGCTGGTCATGGTGGTTCAGCCTGTCATCCCAGCACTTTGGGAGGCCGAGGTGAGAGGACTGCCTGAGTCCGGGGGTTTGAGACCAGCCCGGGCAACTTGGTGAGACCTCATCTCTACAATAAATCACAAAAACTAGTCGGGTGTGGTGGCGTGCATCTGTAGTTCCAGCTACTTGGAAGGCTGAGGTGGAAGGATCCCCTGAGCACAGCAGGTGGAGGCTGCAATGGCTGTGAGTGTGCCACTGCACTCCAGCCTGAGTGACAAAGTGAGACTCCAAAGCAAAACAAAACAACAACAACAACAACAAAAACATGCAATATCATGACTCCAAAGACCAGGACTTTCCCTTCCCCTCCAAAACCCTAGGCCAACTGGAGTTTTCTTTATCAGGGCTTAACCTAGGGGGCCCATCATCAGTCGGGAGACTGGCTGGGGGAGGAGGGGTCAGCAGGTGCCAGGAGGGGCATGAGGCTCTGACACACCAGATGTGCCACCAGTGGGACCACCCTGCCCCCAAATTCCAGATTCCTGCCCCTTGGTAGTGTCAGCCCTTAATGTTGGCAGCAACCTGACCTCACCTCTTTTACACTGTCCAGGAACGACTTTCCATCTGGCCTGTCACCTCAGGGACAGTGGGGTGATAAGACACCCCATCAAACCGACCTCTGACCTCAGCCCACCCTGTGTCCACCTTCTTGTAGTTCAGTCTAAAGCGGATGGGTTATTGGAAAAGTGGCCCCTTTGCTGCTCAACCTGCTGCTCTAGGTGGGGGTCCCTAGAGTGCTGCAAGGCCCCTCTACCACCCCAGCGAGGTACATGGGCTCTTGAGTTTCGGTGATGTCTCGGGTCCTTAGGAAGCCCAGTAGCCGTGACAACCACAACAGGTTGGGTGGGAAGCCAGGGGACAGCTCACCTGGCCATGTAATGCCCCAGTATCCGACCCCGCTCCTTGGTCCTCTGGGTGCTCGCAGTCCCCCACATGCCAGCACTACCATCTTCAGTTTCTGATTCCCTCTCATCCTCTTCCTCTTCCTCCTCCTCCTCTTCCTCCTCCGGGCTGCTGTCCCAGCAGAAGGTCAGTGTCTGAAGAGAAACTGGGGGCTCCTCAGGGACCAGGCTCAGCCCTGGTGATGGGGAGCCCCAGGTGGCCCAGGAGGAGAGATCGTCTTTCGGGAGCTCTTCCAGGAAACCCGAGTCCTTGGAGGATTCAGGTGGTGGGAGGGGTTCCTGGTGCCCATCCTCACCTGGCCCCCGGACTGGCCCCTTTTTGGCCAGATAGCCAGAGGACCCAGCCTCCTCCCAGGAGGAGAAGTCCCCAGTGCTGGCCCAGCTTCTGCCTGAAGAATCCCAAGCAGAGGAGCCTTCACCTTGGACCAGAGGAGTCCAGGGCCTCCCTGAGTCCACCTCATCCACCTGAGAGTGCTCCAGAACCTGGCGCTCTTGCCCCAGGAAAGGCTCAAGGTAGGGCTGAAAACTGACTCCATCCTCTATGTCCTCCTTATCCTCCTCTTCCTCCTCTGTACTGCCTTCCGGTCCCCCCTGCTGGGTAGCAGGGGCTCTGACTCTAGGGGTCAGCCTCACTCTTCTGGCCAGTTCCTTTTGGGGACGGAGGAACAAGTCATCTGGAGACTCAGGTCCACTGGGCTGTAGGGTTGCCATGGGGTGTCTGTATCCAGAGAAGTCCTGGTTGGGAGAGGAGAGAGAAGAGCAGAAAATCCAGGCTTTCCTGAAATACGATTATTTTAACGTGGGTTCCCCTAGAAACAGACTTGAGACAAGGATTCAAGCGTAAGCAGCTTCTGTGGGAGTTGATCCCAGGACATACCAGTAGCAGAGTGGGCAATCAGATGGCAGTGGGGGAGCAGCCAGTAAGGGGGGGTATTATGAATCAAGTGACCACCAGGGAAGCTGGTGCTTAACTCTGCGGCGACCCAGGGAGGCACCAGAGCACATGCACCTCAGAGCCATCCTGTAAAGGGGGGAGCTTCTGGGGTACCACCCCATAGCTCCCCTCAGCCCTTGTTGAGGGATGTAAGAGCTGGCAGCAAGGCCAACTCCCTGACCCTTGCAGCCTGCCACATGCATGGACAGTGTGGCTCTAGCGGTCGCAGAAAGTCCCCAGGGGTAAGTGCTGGGAGCTGCAAGTCCACCTGGTAGGTACCTTAACAGGATGGCTGAGGCGTGGGGCTGGGCACAGATCTGTCTTCCAGAGGCTGTCACAAAGCTCCCGAGGCTTTGTGGGATTCCCCCACAGGTCTCAGAGCCAGGAACTTTGAAAACGCTCTCTCTGCCCACCACCCTGCCATAATACAGGGACACTCTGAACCCATCCTCAAAGCCCCTAGTCCCATCGACGTGTCACTGAGCTTGCCTGTGGCCAAGCTTCATTGGCCTGCCCTCACCTGAACAAGGCTGACCCATCTGGCCTCCCAGGCCCCAGCTGCCCCGGATTCTAAGGGAGTGACCCAGCAGGCAGGGGGGAAACTCCAAGGTTGGCATGGGTGTGGCTCACCCTAGGTTAAATGATAAACTAAGTGCTGGGATTCTTCTAAGACCTCCCCTTCTGGTGCCCCCGACCCCCACCCCCGGCATCTCTCCATCCCTTAAGGCATTTCTCCCTCCCGGGCCTATTTGCTATTTTATTAGGGGCTAACCCAATGCATTGCTAAAGGTGGAAATAGGAGACGCTTTGCAGGACCATCTCCTGTCTGAATGACTCCTAACCTCAGCTCCCACCACACATCCCAGTTTTGTCATACCAAAGCCCATGGCGTCTTTGTCCACTGAAACCAGGGGTCACCTGTGAGGCGCTTCCAGAACAAACCCCCTGTGGCCATTACTAACAGCAGTAGTAGCAGAAGTAGTGGCACCAGGAACACCCAGTTGGCTCCTAAGGATGAAAAAAAAACAATAACCACAGAGACAGCATCAGGGGCTCCCAACTATCAAGCACACGTGTGCTGAGTGCATCACATACATTGTCCTACACCGTGGAGATCAAGGTTCGGAGAGGTTATGTAAGCTGCCCAAAGGCACACAACAAGTGTGGTTTGAATCTAGGTGAGTCTGTCTCCAGGCTCATGCTTTTTTTTTTTTTGAGTTGGAGTCTCACTCTGTCGCCCAGACTGGAGTGCAGTGGCATGCTTCTGGCCATCACAGCCTCGACCTGCTGGACTCCGGTGATCCTTCCACCTCAGCCTTCCAAGTAGCCAGAACTACAGGCATGCGCTACCTCGCCTGGCTAATTTTTTAATTTATTTCTCAGGCAATCCACTTGCCTCAGTGTCCCAAAGTGCTGGGATTACAGGCTGAGCCACGGAGCCCGGCCCAGGCTGATGCTCTTAACCACCGCATCACAAAGCTCCTGAGGCCCAGAAGGAAAGTGCCCGCTTCTGGCCACTCTGTACCCACCTGGGGCCTTCAGGAAGAAGCAGGTGGGCGTGGAGAACTTGCTGTATTTGAGGTTGGTGAAGGTGTAGATGGTCCTGGCACTGAGGCAGTGGCGCTGGCTGGTGACTGGCTGGAGGGTGATCTGCACTGGCTGGCCATGCGGAGTGACTGGAAACAGGGTCTGTTTGGAGAAAAGAAGCCGAGATGAGCTTCCTCCATGGGGACCAGTCCTGCACAACCAGGACAGGCTGGGAGCAGTGGGCAGGGTAGGGCTGAGAGCTGTGATCCTTCTTTTCTTTTCCTGCATGAAGCACATCCCAATACCACCTGGCTCCTTTTCAGTTGAGTCTCGAGTTAAGGATGGCAGGGGTTCAGAGACAGCCTATGTCTGGGCGTCATTCCTGTGTGCACCCCACCAGGGCCAGCGGTCCCCACTGGGAGGGTCAGATTCCTCAGGCTTCCCACCCCAGGCCTCCCTGTCTATCGGGGGTGGGAAACTCCGCCATGCACTGACCAATACAGCAGGTACTGGTCCCTTGCGGCTGCCAAGCACTTAAGATGTGTCTGGTCCAAACTGAGATGTGCTCTGAGTTCAAAATGCACATCAGATCTCAAAGACACAGTGAAAAAAAAATGTAAAAGCCTCAATAATTTTTATTGTAATTATGTAATAAAATGATAACATTCTAATGGATGAAATAGAATCTGTTATGAAAATTAAATTCACCTGTCTCTCTTGGCGTAATTCAGCATAGAACATTTAAAGAGGCATGTGTGGCTCACATTCTATCTCTAATGGACAGTGCCGGTCTAGAATACTTGTGTGGTACCTGACAGCAGGAGCCACACTGCCTAGGGACCTACACTCCTAGGATCTAGAGTATTCAGGAGATCAGGGGTGTGAATATTGGTTTAGTGGAAGCAAGGATGAACAAGAGGCCTGGAATAGTGGCTCATGCCTGTAATTCAGCACTCTGGGAGGCCAGGAGGATTGTTTGAGCCCAGGAGTTCAAGACCAGCCTGGGCAACATAGTAAGACCGTGTCTCTACAAAAAAAAAAAAAAGGGTGGCCGTGGTGGCATGCATCTGTAGTTCCAGCTACTGGAGAGGCTGAGGAGGGAGGATTGCTTGAGCCCAGGAGGCTGAGCCTACAGTAAGCCATGATAATGCCACTGCACTCCAGCCTGGGTGACAGAGTGAGGCACCAACTCAAAAAGAAAGAAAGACAGCTGGGCTCGGTGGCTCAGCCTGTAATCCCGCGCTTTGGGAGGCTGATATGAGTGGATTGCCTGAGCCCACGGGTTTGAGACCCGCCTGGGCAACTTGGAAAGACCTTATCTCTACAATAAATCAAAAAAATTAGCCGGGCGTGGTAGCGCATGCTTGTAGTTCTAGCTGTTTGGAAGGCTGAGGCGGAAGGATCACGGGAACCCAGCAGGTTGAGGCTGCGGTGGCCGGGAGCGGCCACTGCACTCCAGTCTGGGCGACAGAGTGAGACTCCGACTCAAAAAAAAGAAAAAAAAAAAAAAGAACTAACAAAAGAAGGGTCAGTGAACTACAGCCATGGGCTAATCTGGCCTGACACCGGTTTTACTGGAACCTAGAGACACCCATTCACTTTCATATTGTCTCTGCTCGTTTTGTGCTATAATTGCAGCATTCAGTCCCAAGAGACCACAAGGCCCACAAAGCCCAAAATATCTACCAGCCTACTGCAGTCAGCCTTCTGCAGAAAGAGTTCGCCAACCCTCACCACACATAAGTAAATACAGATATACACACATACATACATGGAAAACAAACCTGAAATTGGATATGCACCAGAGTTACTCGTGGTCATCTCTGGGTACTTTTGGTTTGCTTCTTAGAGCTTATCTGTATTTTCTGGTTTTTCTATCCTGAATCTAGTGATTTGGCAAGTAGGCCTCTTGTAGCTCATCATACTTTAATCAGATTTGATTACAAAAGAAAAAGGAGAGATTCATAATTAAAAAAAAAAATTAGCTAGCAAGCTGCTGTGCCGTTGGCCCTGTACCGTGCAGGGGCAGGATACCCTCCCATACTTGGTCTTTGGTAGACAAGCGTAGGGTGGGCCACAGGCCAGCCGCACTGTGTACAAGTCAGGGCTGCCTGCCAGGAGTCAGGGGTATCTGGGGAAGGCTTCCTGGAGGAGGCGTGCAGGAGCAGGCTGGGAGGGTGAAGAGCACTGGGGTTTGGTGGGGTGGTAGGGGCAGAAAAGGGGCTTCCCACCTTGCTTCTGGCTCCCTCCTTCCAGAACTCCACCTCATACTTCAGGTCTGATGGGGGCATGCAGGGGGGAAGCTGGAATGTGGCATTGGCACTCAGGATCTCTTTTGTCAGGGTGAGCACCAGGACGGGTGGGGCTGGCTCCACTGCAGAAACAAAGCAAGGCTTGTCAGTACCCTCTGGGGGCCACACTGCCTCCGTCCAGACCAAAGAGCTCTCTTGGAAAGAGAAAAGCAGCTAGCATGTGCCAAACAATTCCTGTGCACGAACTGTCTTTCAGTCATCTTAGTTAAGCCTCACAGTGATCCTGGAAGGAAGAGATCACTATTCCCATTTTGCTTTGTTTTGTTTTTTTGAGTTGGAGTCTCACTCTTGTCGCCCACACTGGAGTGCAGTGGCTGCTCCTGGCCACCGCAGCCTCGATCTGCTGGGCTCTAGCGATCCTTTCACCTCCGCCTTCCAAGTAGCTGGAACTACAGGTGCACACTACCATGCCTGGCTAATTTTTGATTTATTGTAGAGACAAGGTCTCGCCAAGTTGCCCAGGTGGGTCTCGAACCCGAGGGCTCAGGCAATCCACTTGCTTCGGCCTCCCAAAGTGCTGGGATTACAGGCTGAGCCACTGAGCCTGGTCTCACTATTCCCATTTTATAGAAGGGAAGACTGAGGCTTAGAGAAGGGAAGTGACCTGCTAAGTTCACCATTGACCTGCCTTTACTCATGCCATCCCTTCTGCCTGGGTGCCCTCCACGTGTCACTGGACCGGCAGAGTCCCGTCCATCTGGATTCATTTCCTATTGCTGCCACAGCAGATTACCACAAACATAGCAGCTTACAACAACACAAGCTTATTACATCACAGTTCTACAGGTCAGAATCTCGGAGGGCTCAACTGGTTCCTCTGCTCTGAGTCTCACACCTGGAACTGCTGGGGGCGAACACACATCTGGGCACCCCCAGGTTGTGGGCAGACTCAGTTCTTTCTTTGTGGTTGTAGGGCTGGTTCCCATTTCCTAGCTGGTTCTTAGTGGGAGCCTCTCTCAGCTTCTGAAGGCACCTGCATTTCTCCTCATGTTGCCCCTCCATCTTCAAACCAGAAATAGTACAATTGAGTCCTCTTCACACGTCAAATCTCTCTGACTTCCACTTTGGTTACATCTCTTCTTCCTCCTGCTGGAGAAAGTTCTGTGCCTTTAAGCATTTCTGGGATTAGAATGGGCTCATCTGTATGGACCCAGGATAATCTCACTATTTTAGGGTCTATGTCTCAGTCTGTTTTGTGCTGCTATAACAGAACATCACAGTCAGGGTCATTTATAATGGACAGAAATTTATTTGGCTCATGTGTTGGGAGCCAACATCTATAGCTACATGGCTGAGGCCTGTAAAGGCCCATCTGGAAGATCGCCTCTGACATAGGATATCAGTTATACCTATGATATTGGCGAGTGATTGGTGACCAGTGTGCATACATGGCAGTAAAACTTATAAGTAAATCTCAATACACCTGATGGAAAGTGCATAGCAGAATTATTTCTCTCTGTCTTTCTAAGTTTTACTTCTTTCTAGATATTTTTTAACTTCTATTTCCTGGTAGACTGGGTAGTCAGCTCTTGTTCCCGAAAGCTGTTTGCCCTAGGGCTAAGATTAGAAACTAAATTACCATGATAGTTTTGTCGCCCTGCCCCTAGCCAGGTAGAACGTTTTCTTTTGTTTTGTTAATGACTGAAACTCTGTCTGCTTCAGCCCATGGTCGCCATCTTGGCAACCCTGCATTTCCTTGTTCAAGAGTGTGACAGCTACTATTTGATTTTTAGAGTAGACTTGTTAGGATAAAATATATACATATACACTCATAGCTGCGTAATCTATGCTTGCTGTTTTGTTTCCTTTTGCTACATTATTCAAGTGTAATAGTTACTATATGATTTATAAAAGAATTAACGATAAGGTATTAGCTTAATAGGATATAGCATAGTATTAAAGTCCAATAACTAGATCATATAAAAATTAAAGTTTAGACATATGAAACATATGAATTATAGTAAAGTTTTGTAGTTTAAGAATAAGTTTTAACTAAGTTATAAGGCATTATGTTAAATTGTAATAGGATAATAGTATAACTAACAGTTAAGTCATTTAACTAAACTTATAGATTATAGTATAGTGTTAAGTTGATAATATTAATTGTTAAAAATATTGGGAATCAGTGAACTTGGATTGAACCTAGAGTTAACTCAGGAAAGTTTTTTGTATTAATCAGGGTATAGAGCAAAGAGTATATTATGAATGATTCATTGAACATTATGGAAAACACTTTGAACGATTTGTATTGAAATTGTGCACCTGTGACCTTAATGTAAGCACGGTAGGCATCATGGAATTCGAATTGTTTGCTTGGAAATTGCAGATCTCGTGGTGGTCTTGTGATGCATAGTTTGTAAAGCACGAAACTTGTACGCCCCCAGTGAGTGATTATCACATTGCTGGAGGGTATAGAAAATGGTATATAAGTTGGAAAATGTTTGAATAAAATCGGCTCCAGTCCTGATCAGACTGTTCCCAGAAGATCTGCCTCCGAGTGGTCTTCTCGCTGTCCAGATTCTCTGGTGCGGGTCCTAACCCACCCTTGGTCAGTGCTGGTCACCGACACTCATGGTTCTAGAAGCTGGGAAGTCCATGAGCATGGTGCTAGCATATGGCAAGGGCATTTGTGCTGTGTTATCCCATAGCAGAAGGTGGAAGGGCAAGAGAGGGCGGAACTCACTTCTACAACAACCACTTTTGTGATAACAAACCCACTCCTGAGATGATGTTAATCCGTTCAAGAGGAAGCCCTCATGGTCTACTCACCTCTTAATGGTCCCATCTCTTAATATAATTACAATGGCAATGAAATTTCAATGTGAGTTTTAGAGGGGACATTCAAACTATTAGCAGTCTACAACCTTGATTAAAATTCCTTTTGCTATGCAATACTAACATCTAACAAATTCACAGGTTCCAAGGTTAAAGGCAGAACACCTTAGAGGATCATTCTGCCTACTGTGGTCCTCCCTCTAACCCCCAAAATTCATGACCTTTTCAAAGGCAAAATACATTCACCCCATCCCAAGGTCTCATCTCATTACAGCATCAACTCAAATTCCCAAACTGACAGTATCTAAACCAAGTTCAGAGGAGATCTGGGCATAATTCAACCAGCACAACTCCTTGGGCACAATTTCTTGCCATCTGTGCCAGTGAAATTAAATAATGAGCAAACTGCTCCCAACATAAACTGGTGAGACAGGCACAGGATAAAAATTGGAGACATTTGGGTTCAAACATGGGGAAATGGAAGGAAAAATGATGTCATGGTCCAAAGCAGTCTTGAAAATCCAGCCAAGGAAACTCCACTAGGTTTTAAGGCCTGGGGACAATTCCCACTGTCCTTTGAGTTTCTGGTTTCACCCTGAGTCACCCTTCCTTATTCACTAAAGGTAGCAGGTATTTGCAGCTAAGTCGTTTTATCAGTCTGAGTCTCACCAGAAGAAACTGAGGAGTCTGACAGCCTTCTTTTTCTTTTTTAGTTTCCTCACGCAGCACTGAAAACAGTCTTCTTTGATGTCACATTCTCTCTGTCCCTTTTAGTCCAAGCTGGCAGTGTTTCTGTGGATATAAAGTTCTCAAGAACTACGTGGGTCTCCTGTAGATGTCATGTGATCTGCTCCATTAGATGGAAGCCAGGTCCACAAGTCTTTCTTGGGATAAGCCCTTCTCTGCTTTTGGCTTCGGCTGACATGGCTGAGGTACAATGTACTTCTGTTTCCTAGATGTCCCCTGGTTTGGTTGAGGGGGACCTTGAGTCATACCCATAATCTGAGTCTTCTGTGTAATGACTGAATACTTGGTTCTTCGATCTTTCTGAGGTTTTAGTAAAAAATGGTACCATCACACGCACGGCTATTTCTTGATGTCACCTTTTGGAAGCCACCTCTTAATTTTAGTGTCGTTTGCCAAGTGCATAGGTCAAGAATTTCTCAAACCATCACATCTTGGTTCCTTTTTGTTTAAGCTCTTCCCTCAATTTCTCTTTCTCCTCTCACATTTTACTATAAGCAGCAAGAAGAAACCAGGCCATGCCTTTAACATGTTTTTCAGGTATCTCCTCAGATAAAAACTAAAATTCATTGTTTACAAGTTCTGCTTTCCACAGTCCTGCAGGACATAAATCTGCTAAGCTTTCTGGCAGTACCTTACAAGGATGCCCCTTCCCCAAATTTTCGGTAACATACTCCTCTCCTTGTGTGCCCTAAACGTCTACATTTCTACTAACAGTTTCCTCACAATGATTTATTCTTGAAAGTGACTGAATTTTCTCTGTAATGTTTCACATCTCCTTCTGCACCCCAAGAGCAGAGTCTTTCACATCCACATTTCTACTGAAGGCCACCTAGGCTTGTCCAGTGGTTTGAAGATGGAGGAGGCAACGTGACAAGGAGTGAGGCAGCAAGAGAAAACAAATTGCACCACTCTTCAGGTTCTCACTGAAATGCCACTTCTTCCATGCAGCCTTCCCTGACTCTCGGCCAGGGAGTCTCTGACCAAACATCATCTCTCCCCAATGTTTGTGCTTAGGGTAAACATGTGGCTTCTCCATGATGCCACTACTTACATGTTCAGGAAACATCTGCTGGGTGCTGACTGTGTCAAGCTCTGTAAAGGGAGCTGAGGAGAATGGGGAGATGAGGCCTCCTTAGTCCTGACCCCAAGGAGCCGAAAGCTAAGAGGGAAGTGAGATATGCAAACTACCAAAACTCCGGAAAGTGATCAGGTCCACAGATGAGAGCAGGACAAGTGTGAAGGGAGTGCAGAGGTGGAAGGGTCATTCTGGCTTGGGGTGTGCTGCTGAGGAATCAGGAGAATTAAGGGAGGAGGCAAAAATTGTATTGAAAACATGTAACCTCCTTCTTGTGTCTTTCCTTTCATTCTTCTAATCTCTTATTCCTATCCATTCAACCATTGTGTAGCTCATCTGTCATTCTCCTATACAGACAGCCTTCCTGACACCCCAGCCTTCCTTTCCTTCAATTTATCCATCCTTCCTAACCCTCCTTCCTTTCTTCTTAATCATCCTTTCTAACCAATTTCTTTCTTTCCTATCCTTCCCTTCTTCTTATTCACTTATACTTCCTTTGAGCTAGCCAGTCACCCTTCTTTTCTACTCATCCATCCTTCTCAATCATCCATTATTCTTTTCTTTCTACCCACCTGCCCTGTTTTTCCTCCCTTCTTTGCTTCTCCTTCACTCCTGCCCTTCCTTCCCTTCCTGAGTGTCCAGCTTTTCTTCTATACTATCTTCTGATTGATCCACCCATCTGTCTTCCCTTCTGTGATGGTTGATTTTATGTGTCAACTTGACTGGGCTAAGGGATGCCCGGATAGCTGGTAAAACACTATTTCTAGGCCTGTCTGTGAGGATGCTTCCAGAAGAGACTAGCATTTGAATTCGATTGAGTAAAGAAGATCTGCCCTCACCAATGTGGGTAGACATTATCCAGTCTGGCAAGGACTCAGACTGAACAAAAAGATGGAGGAACGGCAAATGAGCTCTCTTTTTTCTTGAGCTGGGACATCATCTCCTGCTCTTGGATACTGGAGCTTCTTGCTCTCATGCTTTGGGACTCTGAAACTTATACCAGCGGCCCCTCCGGTTCTCAGGCTTTAGGCCTCAGACTGAGTGTTACACCATTGACTCCTTTGTTCGCAGGCCTTCAGATTTGGTCTGCATCACACCACCAGCTTGCCAACTGCCTATAGTGGAACTTTCTGACTTTCATAATTACATGAGCCAATTCCCAGAACAAATCTCCTCTTCTATCTGTTTATATCCCATTGGCTCTGTTTCTCTGGAGAACCTTGACTAGCACACCTTCCCATCCTCCATCTCTCCATCTCTCCTCGTTTCCTTTCCCATAAGCATCTGTCCTTCCCCCCCGGCCTCCTTCCTCTCCACTCTTCCATCACTACCGCCTTCATCCTCTCCATACTTCCTTCTGACTCATCCATCCTTACCCCCTTTTATCCATCTACTCAGCCAACTTCTCTTGCCCTACCCATCTTTTCTTCCTACTCTACTGACACCCTTTATTCAATCCCTCCCTCTCCTTTCTTCAAGTCCTTTTGCTCTCAAACATTCTGAGAAGCCTGAGCAGAAAGTTATAGCCCTAAGCTCTGGAAAGATATTGTCTGGGTGTTTATTCTCTCTTGTTACTGCCTTTCCCTCACTCTTGAGTCTGACCCAGGCCTCGCTCAAGGTCAGAAAAATCTAAATGTATATCTCATACCTACCAGTTACTAGTGATATATCCTGGCAAGTTTCTTAGCCTCTATGAGTCCTGTTTTGTTTGTTTGTTTATTTATAAACAGGATTTCACTCTGTCGCCCAGGCCAGAGTGCAGTGGTATGATCATAGCTCTCTGCAACCTGGAACTCCTAGGCTCAGGTAATCCTCCTGCCTTGCCTCCTGAGTAGCTGGGATTACAGGCACACATCACCATACTGGCAAATCTAAAAAAATTTTTTGTAGAGATGGGGTCTTGCTATGTTGCCCAGGCTGGTCTCAAACCGGTCTCAAGCAATCCTTCCACCAAAGCACTGGAATTACAGGCGTGTGTTACTGTGCCCAGCCAGTTTTGTTTACTTTTAAAAATAGGTTGATGAAAATGAACTTCACAAGTTTGCTGTGAGGATTAAAAATAAACTGGGAAAAAAGTGTTCTCCACATCCAATGTTGGGTTTTCTGGTGGTAACCATGGAAGATTTTTTTCCTCCCTATTTTTGTCTTCTTTTCCTCCAAAATTTCTACAGTGCACAGAAAATGCTTTTTCAATCACAACTTTTTTAAAAAATTATTTTTCAAAGTGAGAAGTTAAATAAATAGGAATTAAGGAATAAGTATATAAAATAAATTTTAAAAATAGGAATAAGTATATAAAGCACCTTGTGTGTCCATGACCAAAATGGTGCTCAACAAGATAATAAACATTGTTAGCAGGAGGTACAAGCTGAATTGCTGGCTGACTGGAACTCCCCTAACTCTCTGACACACTACCAGACACGAGCCCAGCCTTTGCTGGTCCCTTGCCCCGTCTCACCAAGGCTGGACCTGGGGCTGGCGCCCATGGCAAGCTGCCCTCTGCTTTGAGGAAGTGGAAGACAGATGGTCAGGGCCGCAGCGCCACTGAGAATGTTCTCAGATGGTTTGGAGAGCCTCCCATTCAGTCCCTCACCCATGGACCTACCTTCAAAAAGGTAATCCAGGTACTTGGATTCCACCCAGGGGGACCAGGCACTGGGAGAAGTCGCTCGCACACGCCCCTTGAACTTGTTGTATAGGTCCTGTTTCTTCAGGCACATCAGGGAACACACCAGCTCCTTGGTTCCTGTACACTTCTCCACTCTTCGCCATCTGGGGGTGGAAAAGCTGAGGGAGGAGACAGGAGAGCTTGGGCCATGGACTCAGCCTTCAGGGCTGGGGAACTTAAGAGAACAGGTGACCACTCATCCCTCCATTCAGCCCAGTTGTCTACTGGTCCATCTGTCCTGACAGGCAGTCATTGGCTGAGCAGGTTCTGGAGCCAGACAGATGGCAGGGTGGGATCTGGGCCCTGCCCCTCACTAGCTCTGGGACCACAGGAAGGTCTCTGCCCCTGAGTCTATGTCTCCTCATCTATTACACTGCCCTCGCAGGGTTGTTGTGGTGCTGCTATTGCTAGTACTAGTGGTCACTGGCACGTGTTTACTCACCCAGGCATTTATGGGCCACCCTTATGACCTCATTTAGCTCGAATTACTCCTTTAAAGGTCCTATCTCCAAATATAGTCACATTGGAGGTTCGGCTTCAACATATGAATTTGGAGGAGAGGGTACAATTCATTCTATAACACCCGATAAAATGGATTTTAGCAAATTAAAAATGTTTGCTCTTCAAAAAAAAGCAAAATTCTGAAGAAAATGAAAAAGCCAGTCACTGAAAAAAAGATATTCACAACATATACACTGACATGTGACCTGCATCAAAAACAGACAAAGAGCTATTATAACTCAATAATCTGAAAACTATCTAATAAACAACGGGCAAAATAGTCATTTCACAAAAGGAAATACATAAATGGCCAATAAGCACAGGAAAAGATGTTGAACATCATCAGTCATTAGGAAAATGTAAATTAAAGCCATGATAAAATACTGCTACACACACTCTAGAATAGGTCAAATAAAAAAGACTGACACGGAGAGACTAGACCTCTCGCATATTGTTGGTGGAAACAAACAATGGAAAATGGCTTGACAGTTTCTTGTAATGCTACACATTCAGTTACCAAACACATTTAGTGTTCCTAGATTCTACTCATGGATTTTTATCCAAGAGAGGTGAAAATATATGTCCACACAAAGACTTTTACATGCATAGTCATAGCAGCTTAATTCATAATAGCCCTTTTATGGATTTCATTGAGTTGAGGTAATTGTGGTTAAAGGAGGTAGTGAGGGTGGGGCACTAATCTAGTAGGACTGGTGTCCTTATAAGGAGAAAATGAGATACCAGGAGTGTCCACACACAAAGAAAAGGCCGTGTGAGGACACAGTGAGAAGATGGCTAGCAGCAAGTCAAAGAAAAAGGCCTCAGGAGAACCAAAGCGATCAGTGCCTTGATCTCAGATTTGCAACCTCCAGAACTGTGAGAAAATACATTTCTAGTATTTAAGCCACCCCGTCTGTGGTACTTCGTTATGGAAGCTCTAGCCAACTGAAGCAGATTTTGGTATCAGGAGCGAGGTGCTGATATAACAAATACCCAAAAAAATGTGGAAGTGGCTTTGGAATTGAGTAATGCGTACAGGCTAGAAGAGTCTTGAAGTGCATCAGAAAAAGCCTGGATTGTCTTAAAGATACTGTTTGGGAACCAACCATGCTGCCCATCAAAACTAGGCTGGATAAAAAAAATGTGGTACATATACACAATAAAATATTATGCAGCCATAAAGAAGGACAAACATATGGACTTCTCAGCAACTTGGATGGATTTAGAGTCTGTCATACTCAGTGATCTAACACAGAAACAGAAAACTGAGTTCCACAGGTTCTCACTCATAAGCAGACCTTGAACAATTATCATAATACTATAAGAAAGGGATTGGCAGTAGTGGGAAACTGCCAAGGGAGGGTGGGGTGGAATTGGCAGTAGTGGGATTCCGCCGGGAGGGGCGGGACACACCTCATCAACAAGGGTACCTGCATAATGAATACCTAACCCTATATTTGAATACCTAATCCTGAATTGTACCTCATAACTTTAAAAGAAAAAAAAAAGATGCTGTTGGTAGGAATATAGACATTAAACATAAAGGTGATTATGCGAGTCCCCAGATGGAAAGGAGGAACATATACTGGAAACTGGAGGAAAGGCGATCCTTGTTATAAAATGGCAAAGAATTTGGCTGAATTGTGTACTAATGTTTTGTAGAAGGTGGAAGCTAAAAGAGACAATCTTGGATATTTAGTTGAAGAGATTTCTAAGCAAAATGCTGAAGGTGCAACTTGGTTTCTCTTTACTGCTTATAGTAAAATGCGAGAGGAGAACAAAAGGGAACCAGAACATGAAGTTCTGAAAAATTCTCGGCCTATCCATGGTACAAAAACTGAGAAAGTATGTTCTGGAGAACATACCAAGGTTATGGCTGGAAAATCATTTGACAAAAAGATCATGAGTGCAAATCGTGGATTTAATCAGTCAGATTAAACTAGATATAGAGATGGGATTATACCAGCAGAGGCACTGCCAGGGTTGACTAAAGGGGACGGAGACGGGACAAAATGAAGGAAGGCTGTCAGAACTCTGGAACTCTACAGGAGGAGACAATGGAGTTATTTGGCTGTGAACATGTGTTATCCTTCAAGATTAGGAAAGAAGCCAGGCTCGGTGGCTCAGCCTGTAATCCCGTGCTTTGGGTGGCTGAGGTGGGTGGATTGCCTGAGCCCGCGGGTTCGAGACCCACCTGGGCAACTTGGCGAGCCCTCATCTCTACAATAAATCAAAAAATTAGCTGGGTGTGGTAGTGTGAGCCTATAGTTCCAGGTACTTGGAAGGCTGAGGCAGAAGGATCACCAGAGCCTAGCAGGTCGAGGCTGCAGTGGCCGGGAGCGGCCACTGCACTCCAGTCTGGGTGACAGAGTGAGACTCCAACTCAAAAAAATAAAAATAAATAAAAGATTAGGAAAGAATGTTCCAAGGGAGAGTCAAAGGTCAGTAGGATTGTCATTACCACAAAGGCCTGGGTACAAGGCTGTCTCCTCTTTAGTTTCAGCAAGCCAGGTTGCTGCTTTCCAGTCTCAGGGGTGCAGTCACTACCCAGGGTGATGGGAGTGGCAGAACATTAAGCCAAAGAGGAATTTCCTGAAACTTAAAATCTAAGGTTCAATTCCAGGTCTTGGGCTTGTTTGGGACTTGTCACTCTTTTCTCCTTTCCCCTTTTGGGATGAGAAAGTCTATCCTTTTTTTTTTTTTGAGTTGGAGTCTCACTTTGTCGCCCAGGCTGGAGTGCCGTGGCACACTCATAGACACTCCAGTGTGACCTGCTGGGCTCCAGAAATCCTTCCTCCTCAGCCTTTCAAGTAGCCAGAACTACAGGTATGTGCTACCACACCCAACTAATTTTTGATTTACTGTAGAGAAGAGGTCTCGCCAAGTTGCCCAGGATGATCTCGAACCTGTGGGCTCAGGCAATCCACTTGCCTCGGCATCCCAAAGTGCTGGGATTATTAGTTGAGCCACTGAGCCTGGCTGAGAAAGTCTATCGTAATGCCTGTCCCATCATTTTATTTTGGAGGCACACAACTTGTCTGATTTCACGGGTTCATAAGTGGACAGCAATTTTGCCTCAGGATGAATAATAAACAATACCTGATTTAGAACATATATAGATGCTGGAATGGGCTAAGACTTTTGGGGCAGTTGAGATGGGGATGGATTCATTTTGCATATGAGATGGACATGAATTTTGGAGGTCTAGAGAACAGGGCATATGGCATTCCTAGTATATTAATATCTTCCCAGAATTGGAAACAACCCAAGTATCCATTGATGGGAAGATGGATTAAATGGTAGTACAGTCATATAAAGGAACACTACACAACAATAAAAAGGAACTAAGCCGGGTGTAATGGTGCATGCCTATAATCCCAGCACTTTGGGAGGCGGAGACAAGAGGATTGACTGAGTCCAGGAGTTCAAGACCAGCCTGGGCAACTTAGTGAGATCTTGTCTTTATAGTAAAACAAAAAAATTAGGTTGGATTGTGGGGCACGCTTATGGTTCCAGATACTTGGAAGGCTGAGGTGGAAGGTTAGCCTGAGCCCAGCAGGTTGAGACTGCAGTGGCCTGAACATGCCACTGCACTCTAGCCTGGGTGACTGAGTGAGACTCCTACTCAAAAAAATAAAATAAAGTAAATAATAAAAGCCGGGCTCGGTGGCTCAGCCTATAATCCCGTGCCTTTGGGAGGCTGAGGTGAGTGGATTGCCTGAGCCCGCAGTTTCGAGACCCGCCTGGGCAACTTGGCGAGACCTCATCTCTACAATAAATCAAAAATGAGCCAGGCATGGTAGCGTGTGCCTGTAGTTCCAGCTACTTGGAAGGTTGAGGCGGAAGGATCGCCAGAGCCCAGCAGGTCGAGGCTGCGGTGGCTGGGAGCGGCCACTGCACTCCAGTCTGGGTGACAGAGTGAGACTCCAACTCAAAAAAATAAAAAAATAAAAAATAAATAAAATGAATTAGCCACTAATTCATGTAACAATGTGGACAATGTAGATAAATTTCAGAAACACTGTCTTGAGTAAATGGAGCCACGAAAGGATACTTCCTATACAAATCGATTTATATGAAGTTCTAGGGCATGCAAAGTTAATCTATAGTTTCAGAAAGCAGGTATGTAGCTGGCTAGCTCTAGAAGAAGAATGAATGCAAAGTAGCATGAGAGAACTTTCTGAGGTGATGACAATGTCTTATATCTTGATTGTGGTGATGGTTACACGTGTATACACATGTCAAAATTCACCAAACTATATTTTTAAATGGAAGCATTGTAATCTATGTAAATAACTCAATGTTGATTTTGAAAGCAAAATAGTGTGTGTCTGGCTACTTGGAAGGCTGAGGCGGAAGGATCGTTGGAACCCAGAAGGTTGATGCTGGGGTGGCCGTGAACGTGTGTGCCACTGCACTCCAGCCTGGGCGACGGAGTGAGACTCCAACTCAAAGAAAAGAAAAAAGAAATGTGCATTCTCAGTTACAAACATGTCCACCAAAGAAATAGAATTTTAGGGAAAATAAATGTAACCAAGATAAAGAATATAAATTAGATGATGAATAATCTCAAATCATGAAAACACATTGAGTTTTCTTAAAAACCAACAGTAAAATCTATTTCATTTAAAGAACAGAAAAATGAATAGATAAAAGAAATATGAGAAAATTAGACAAATATTGAAGACAGAAAAAGAAGATCCAACATACAAACAATATGAATCCCTAAAGAAGAAAACCAAGCTGGGCTTGGTAGCTCAGCCTGTAATCCTGTGCCTTTGGGAGGCTGAGGTGAGTGGATTGCCTCAGCCCACGGGTTCGAGACCCGCCTGGGCACCGAGACCTCATCTCTACAATAAATAAAAAAATCAGCCAGGTGTGGTAATGCATGCCTGTAATTCCAGCTACTTGGAAGGCTGAGGTGGCAGGATCGCCGGAGCCCATCAGGTCGAGGCTGCGGTGGCCAGGAGTGGCCACTGCACTCCAGTTCGGGTGACAGAGTGAGACTCCATCTCAAAAAAAAAAAAAAAGAAGAAGAAAACCAAAGCAAGAGAACTAAAAACTATAATTTAAGAAAACATTCCTGAAATAAAAAAGACTTGGAACCATGTAGTAAGATAGAATATTATCTAAAATTATCTGCCTAGAATGAATAATTAATGCCAGTGCATAGTCTAGTAAAATTGCAAGATTTTAAAGAAAAAGAAACAATCCTTTAAACAAAAAGAGCAAGTAACTTAAGAGGCAATTATGTATATCTTGGGATAAAGAAAGTGAGTAATAAGTAACAATGGGTCATTCTAGTTCTATCATCTCCCACGTCCTTGAGAACAAGGATTCTCAGTGTGAAAGAAAGTGAATACAGATATCATATAGAATAAGTTAAGTAAAAAATCCTAAAGGATGGAATTTAGATTGTAAGCATCAGTCTAAACTCAGGCATTTTATCTTAAAAATTATGTACGTGTGTGTGTCTATGTGGTATATATATATATGTGAGTGTGCTTTTATCCTGTCTTGCCTATTTATAAAGTATCACTGGAAATTCAATACTAGATAAGAGGATGTGTCTCTTGAGAAAATAATTTCAGCTAACATGGAAAAAAACAGTTAAGATATCAGCATTTCACAATCCTCACAGATGTTTAAAAAGTATAAAAGAAAAGGGAAATATTATAAAGGTCCAGAAAATAGACTTTAAACTCCTTTAAAGATTTATTCTAGCCACACTGCATCTAGCTACGTGACTTGGAACAAAAGACACCCTTAGCGCTTCAGTCTCCTCATCTGCAGTGTGGAGTGCTGAACCCATCTTCACAGGGCCATTGTGAGATGATGCATTTAATGTCCCGACACTGTGCCTGTTGCAGTAAGTGTTAGGTACTTTCTGCTTCTTGCTTTTGAAAGGCTCTCTGTCCTTGCCCAAGGCGGCTCCCCGTTCACATACGTCTGGATTCTACAGACAGTGGCACGTGATGAAACAGGGAGAGCACAAGCTTTGGGGTCAGACAGGCGTGAGTTCCCCCTCTGGCTCCATGACTAACTTCCTCAGACATATCACGGCACCTCTCTGAGCTCAAACTCCTTGTCTTTAAAGTGGGGGAAACACAGAGCCTGACTGGTGATACTGGGGGGAGGAAGTGAAATATTCATGTAAGGTCCTTAGCACATGGCCTGGCCCAGAGCTGTAGTTCCTTCCCTTCTTGCTCTATCCTCATCACCAATTCCAATGAATACCCCTCCCCCACCTTACTGTCCTACAAAAGGACTTCCAATGATTCCCATCCAAGTTCCGTTTTCAGATTCCCCTGAATTAGCAGTGGTGCCTGGGCTTCCAGGCTGAGAAGGATCCCAAGGCTCCATCTAGGTTCCAAGGGGAAGCATGGTCATCCAGCGCTGCCTAGATTCCCGGCTCAGCAGGGGTCTCTAACAGTTCCTCTGTCATTAATTTCCCCCACTGATTGGCTGGGACAGACCCAAGTACTTCCTCCAGCCAGTCAAGAATTCCACTCTCTGACTCTCACAGCTCCACCCACGTCCCCTGCCCCATGCCAACTTCTCTGAAAGATCCACCCCCAACCCTGGCAGGCTAATCACCTGAACCCCGCTCTCCATTCAACATCGCTCCTACCTCCAGACCCTCTCAAATGCTTGCCACGTGCCATTCCTGTGGGGTCCAGAGAACCAGCTGGTGCTGCCCACGATGGATGCAGCTGTCCACAGGAGCCCCTCCAGCCCCGCTGCCTCCCGACCCACCAGCCCGGGGGCTCCCCTCTACCTTTTATAGGCCACAAAATAGGTCACGTTCTGGGGGTTGCCAGGCCCCGGGAGCCACGTCAGGTACACACTGAAGTTCTGGGAGACCAGCGTCACGTTCTGAGGAGGGACCAGCTGGGGTCTCCCTGGGGGGAGAAAGAGGTCATGAAGCCTGGAGCTCCTGGTGGTCTTGACATGGGCCACTCTAAGTGGAGGAGTGGCATGAAGGGCAGTCAGGTGCTTGCTGAGTTTAAGCTCCCGTCTACTCTGGCACAGGAGTTTCCACAGAACACCATGGAAGAGGAGTTGTCTCCTGGCACTCAGGGAGAGCATTCCTGAGGGTACCAAGGAGCAGGAGCTCTATCATCTTCTCAGCCCTGTCACCAGAGCTTGCCTGCTTTGGTCCCTGTAGGCACATAGTAGGAACACAATAAATATTTGTTGAGCAAATGAGTAAATATTAAAATAACATGAGTTACTCCATAGGCTTCCTAAGTGGTCTCTCTGCTTCCAACCTTGTGTGAGGGGAACGACACAGCAAAGGCTGCTACCTCGGCACTAGAAGTAGACACACACCAAATGGCACAAGTCAGTGGCCAGAGAGGACTGAAGGCATCTCTCCCTCCTGGCAGACTGGGGTCCCTGCTATCTCTCTGCTTTCTTTAAGGTAACCACTCAGGCATTTGCCTGTGAACTTCAAGTGCCACGCCCTAGTCTCTCATATATCCTACTAGATGCCATGTTCTCACTTTCTCTCTGTCTGACCCTTCATTCCTACCTTGTTTGAGCCAGGAAGGTTTGCCCTCCCCAGTCAATGCTCAGGATCTGTAAGTGGTACATCTTCAAACTGATTTCCTGTTGCAGTGGTGTATTGAATTTGCACCTTTCATGTCAAGAACCAGGGGCTACCCCATGCTGGCTTTTCCCTGGGTCCCTGAGAACAGAAGGCTGGGCTCCCAGTGCCAGAGCGATGGTCAGGCAGACATAAACTGGACACAGGCCAGGCAAGAGCCACAAGGACGTCTGTCAATATAAACAATTCTGAGGGACCCCTGGTCATGGGTCAGGCAACTAGACATTAGGTAGCCCACCAGGTAAAAGAAGTACCCTGTGAAAGGCACGCTGTAAATACTACGCCTTTCCTGCTAGAGCAGGTTGCCAGTCACTCTACCACTGGGGCCCCAAGTCAGCTTGGGGTGCTCAAAACCCTCGTCCCAATGTGGACAATCATTGCATATTTGAAGGTATATTTCTAGAGAAGTTTAGGTGGCACCTGTAGTCATTATTTATTTTACTATTTCATTTTTGTACAACTTCCAGATTTGTGGATGTAGCTTTCTTCTTAAAATTCACTTTAACTTGAAAGTATGTTTTTAATTCTCCCTACATAGTTACTGGACTGTACACACACACACACACACACACACACACACACACACAGTCCATTATATATGGGGGTATATTTAAATGTTGATAATGTACTTGCATACTTAAGAGAATGTCACATTGGACTCCAGAGTGGTTAAACGCCAAAACACAACATCTACCATTTACCTTTTTCTGTTGGCTTAAGAGAGGATATTTGACAGCTTTACCTACTCCTACAGACTCACAGAGTACATGTATTTTTTTGTTCTCAGTTCTGCTCTACATCCTAACTGTAAAAAACACTGTCATAATCTGTTATGTGAAAGTTCTTCAGCCAAATGTTGGATGAAATGCCTGCTCTGAAGTCTCAGATCACTGCCCCATCTATCATTGCTTTTCACTTTGGTTTGTAGAAGAGCTTGAAAGCAGAAATACCAGTCAACAACTTTTATACTATTAAAAGAATTTTTTCCTTCTTAAGCACACAGAACATCTTGTCCCTCCGTCCACTCTCCATACAGCAGCAAGGGTTACAGTCAAAGTTAGAACATGCGGTTCTTCTGCTTAAACCCTCCAAAGGCTTCCGTCTCACTTTGGGTGAACTCCAAAGCCTTGACCATCACCTCCAAGGTCCTACCTGGTTGACCCACTGCTCTCCCTTCGCTTCCTCCTCTCACCCACAGGGGCCTTTTTACTCTTCCTTGAGCAGCCAGATCTGCTCCCACCCCAGACCTTGGCACGTGCTGTCCACTCCCCCGGACATCCGACATCCACATGGCCCCCTCCTTTGCTCCCTCTCCAACTCCTTTGATGCCACTGTCTCAGTGACACTTTCCCCGACCACCTCTCTGGCCTCCATTTCCCCACCTTGGTACACCCTCCTTTGTTGGGAGCGAATGTGATGTGGGGAGCAGATGAGCACTGTCCCTGTAGCAGGCCTTGAGTAAAGGCCCCAAGCGAAGGCAAGGTCTTGCTTAACGGCCCCAAGCTCATAGGCAAGATCTCTCTTGGAAGTTCTGCATCCTAGCCAAAAGCAGGTTGTGAGGGATGCAGCCTGCTACGTGAAATGGTGTCTCAGATGCCCACGCATCCAGGTGCACATAGAACAGATAAAGCTATAGCTACAACAAGATAGCTGCAGAACAGCTCGCCTTTTAGGTAGCAATATAATTCCGTTACAGCTCCCTCACACTTTGAATCCCTTCCAACTTCCCTTGGGTTTGAGCTAGTTGGGGGCCACTTCTCCTCCATCAGAGGAAAGTGTCTCACCTGGCCCCAGCTTTTCTTTATGTCTTTATATCTGTGTCTAATCTCTCACCACTCTCTCTCAGGACCCTCAAGGCAGCTGCACAGGCCGTGGTACTCCTCATTGTTAACCCTCATCTTTGGAAACATGCAACTGATAACACCACTCCCCAGCTTCACGCCCTTCCCTTGCCCCCAGAATAAAGTCCACACTCCTTATCAAGGTATATGAGGCACTGTCTGACATGGCCTGGTCAGCCATCCCACTGCTTTCTCCCGATGGCACCCCTATGGGCTCACAAGGCTGCAGCCAACCTTCCTTCCTGCTGTTCCCAAGCCACTGCATTCTTGTGGATGACTTTGAACTTAAGTGTCCATGACTGCCTGGTGCCCACCATCTAATCTTTAAAAGACTTTACTGAGGCCAGGTTCAGTGGTTCAAGCCTGTAATCCCAGCAATTTGGGAGGCTGAGGTGAGAGGACTGCCTGAGCCCAGGGGTTTGAGACCAGCCTGGGCAACTTGGTGAGGGCTTGTCTCTACAATAAATCAAAAATTGGCCAGGTGTGGTAGTATACGCCTGTAGTTCCAAATATGGAAGGCTGTGGCGGAAGGATCGCCTGAGCCCAGCAGGTTGACACCAGGGTGGCCGTGAGCATGCCACTGCACTCCAACCTGGGCAACAGAGTGAGACTCTGACTCAAAAAAAAAAAGACTTGCAATGTCACTTCCTCCAGGGAGTCTTCCTTGACACCTTAAGAGGTGGTGATAATAATGACAATATGTGTAGTATGTTCTGTGAACCAGGTTCTGTGCTAAACACTTTGCCTGTATTTTCTTTTTTAATCCTCACCACATCCCTAGGAGGCAGGGACTAATTATAACCATCACATTGTAGATGGGAAAACTGAGGCTCTCTCAGCCAATAAGTTGTAGAATCAGTTTCCAGCGCAGGCCTAGCCAACTCCAAAGTCTGAACTCTCACCCATCCTTGGTCCTCTGGGCTTCCATGGGACCTGTCCAGCTCTGTTAGTCCCACATCTATTGCCCACTATTAGTCAACACCTGTTGATCACTGTGTGCCAGGGGTTTCAAAGAGGAATACAGCTCATTCCTGCCCTACTGAAGTCCATGGTCAGGTGGAGAATTCAGTGCCCTGAAGTGTCACAAGGGCCATCACGGAAATCCATACAGGTTGCAGAATGGCATCCAGAAGGGATGGCCCAGTTCTACCAATGGCTCATCCCAGCCTAGGCTGCTTGTCCCTGAGCGCTCAGACCCAAGTGGGGGTTCCTGCTTCCACCCATCCTGTGTCCTCTAGCTGGGACTGGATTGTCAGGTTGCTAGTGCTGTCACTGCTCCCAGTTTCTGGACTTCCTAGCTGGTGTCTGGCAGGATGTCAGTCTGCCTGCAAACTGTTTATACACTTCCCTGTGGGCATAACAGTCCCCAAATTTGAGCTTGGCCACATCTGAAAAACAGCAACTAGAGTGGTTTCCGTCTATTGAGACTTCAGAGGGTGCCAGGTTAGCTCTTATATGCAAAACCTCATTCAGTCCTCAGGACAAATCACCCTATAGAGTAGATGTCATTCATTCTCCTTCCATAGACGGGGCAGTAGGTCCAGAGACAGACATTAACTAATTTGTCTGAGGTTACACAGTTGATGTGGAAGACGGGATTTGAACCTGGATCTGGCTGCATTTCACTCTAAACCATCACACCATAGCTTGTGTTGTGTACAGCAAGTATTCCTTGAATGAAAGTACAGCCAGGTCCAGGCAAGAAAACTATTGGGTTTGCCAGTGAAACAGGGAGCAGAGGATCTCTCTCCTTCTTCCACAGGTGCACTGTCCTTCATCAGCTGCAAAAACATTCAACTGCTGCAGAGGCCAGCCTGGTGACCTAGCGATGGACAGCTTGTTCCAAGTGCCCACTCCAGAGGCCAAAGCTGGCCAGGCTCGCTTCAGCCCCAGTCTTCTCTATTCTGTGTGTCCCACTTCTGTTATCCTTCTTGGGCATTTCTCTTGACTGTCCTGAGTCTCAATTTCCCCATCTGAAAATGGGGAACAATATCTATGTCATAGGATAACTGGGTTGTGAGGCTTTTTTTTTTTTTTTTTTTAGTCAGAGTCTCACTCTGTCACCCAGGCTGGAGTGCAGTGGCACACCCACGGCCACCACAACCTTGACCTGCTGGGCTCAGGTTATCCTTTAGTCTCAGCCTTCCAAGTAACTGGAGCCACAGGCACATGTCACCACAGTCGGCTAATTTTTTTATTTATTATAGAGACGAGGTCTTGCCAAGTTGCAAGGCTGGGTCTTGAAGCCCTGGGCTCAGGAAATCTTCTGACCTTTGCCTCCCAAAGTGCTGGGATTAGGTTGTGAGGCTCAAATAAGACAACGTGGTGCCCAGCACAAAGAAGTTGCTCAGTAACTGTTGGCTTTTGTGACTATTAGATTATGTCCCAAGACCTTTCTAGCTCTTTAAATTGTGAGCCTAAGACTAGGAAGATATCCTGGGGCAATTCAAGACCTGTCCTTCCCTGGGTTGGCTGGAGTGGTGGAAGGCTGGGGTTTGGAGGCTGGGTCTCATGGCAAGTTCTTTTGTATCTGGCCATCTTATGTACCAGCGGGGTGCCCAGAAGAAAGGTGTCTTGCTATAAGAACACAGCACGGCACAGACTAAGCCAGGGCTGCATCCTCCCAGGCCTGGGATGAAGAGGAGGGGACCTCAGTCTGTCCCACTTTCCCTACTGTCTACATTTGAGGGTCAAGTGTGGTATCAGTTACAGGGAACAGTGCTGTAGAAAGACTTAAAAAGCACTTTATAAAGAAATGCAGTTGCTTTTAAAACTGCCGCCGTCTTTTTTCCAGCTCACCTGAGTTGGACCGGAATGAGGAACCTGGATGACTTTCCTCCGGGAAAGGAATTTCAAAGACTCGGTCTTGGTTTAGTCCTGGGAAGTCGCCAACCGGTGGCAGGTGGGCAGGGCCGATCGCACCCGGCTCCGGGG